TTTCTCTCTCTTTTGGCAGTACTGGGGTTTTGAACTCAAAGCCTCACACTTGTTAGGCAGGTACTGTACCATTTGAGCCATTCCACCAGCCCTTTTTTGTATTAGCTATTTTTGAGATAGGGTCTCACAAACTATTTGCCCAGGCTGGCTTCAAACTGCCATTCTCCAGATCTCTGCCTCCTGAGTAGCTAGGATTACAGGCATGAGCCACCAGTTCCAGGCTGGTTACTGTATCTCTACAAGAGATTAGTTCAAGCACAGAAGAGGGAGATGGTGACCAAACTCCCCAAACAGGATCAAGACTCAACTAGGGAAGGTTTCTTAGAGCTGAATATTAGAGAAATGTGCACACATATTCTTGTAGCATTACATTTAAAATGTTTCTAAAGTGTTTGTGGGGGGGCACCACCACAGGGAAATTATCTTAACATTTTGAAAAATGCACCACATATTTTGGTATTAGATTTGAGATTAAAATCTAACTTAAACGGGGCACCGGTGGCTCATGCCTGTAATCCTAGCTTCTCAGGAGGCAGACATTAGGAGGATCATGGTTTGAAGCCAGCCCGAGCAAATAGTTCTCAAAACATTATCTCAAAAAAAAAAACCATCAAAAAAAGGGCTGGTGGAGTGGCTCAAGGTGTAGGCCGTGGATTTAAACCCAGTGCCACAAAAAAGAAAAAAAAATAACAAAAAACCCTAACTTAATTTACTTTTATTTTTTGGTGGGACTGGAGTTTGCACTCAGGGCTTCATGTTTGCAATGCAGGTGTTCTACCGCTTAAGCACCAGTCCATTTTGCTCTGGTTATTTTAGAGAGGAGGTCTCTCAAACTATTTGCCTGAGTTGGCCTTGAACCAAGATCCTCCCGATCCTCCCAAGTAGGTAGGATTACAGGTGTGAGCCATCTAGGCCCAGCTAATTTACTTTTTCAAATGGTAAGCTATTTGTAAATGTTTTTCTTTACGTTTTTGATGCTGGGAATTGAACTCAGGGCCTCATGCATATATTTTACCACTAAGCTACAACCCACCACTTCTACCAATGCTTTTGCAACAATCCATTTCTCCTTTTCTATTGATCCATCTTTCTCCATCACCTCTATCATGGGCTGAATTATATTTTGATCAATTTCTTTCCTTTTTATCCTGTTCTGTGGATCTGGTGAAGGAGATGTTATAGTGCAGGCTCTGGAGTCAGATTGTCTGAGCTGTGCCTCAGTTTCCTCATTTGCTAAGTGGAGACAAAATTAGTACGTATTTCAGATGGCTGCCGTGAAGGTTGGATGAGACAATGTACATCGAGCACTCACTGCGGCACTTGGTACCTAGTCAGCTGAATGTCTGCTATTAGTGTGATTGCTATCAGCCTGCTCCCGTACCAGCAACACAGCAGAGAAAATTGTCCAGAACGTTGTTTGGAGTTGAGACAGCACAGCTCAGCTTCTTACTGTCTGCATGACCTTGGACAAGTTACTCACCTTGTATCCTCCTGCAGTCTCTGCTTTCTATTCTTATATGGAAATATAAAAATATCTACTGCAGCATGTTGTGAAAGGGTAACATTGCAGCTCACACAGGGCATAACATGCAATAGCCCCTAAATGAATGCTTAATTTCCTCTTGCTAATTGTTGTGATAACTTCATAACAATTTCCATCTTTATATGTGATGGGGCAAGTCCTTCCTCATCTTTCAAAAAAATTTTTTTTTCTGGGGACTGGCAGCCTTTCAGGGCCAAGTCTGTTCTGGGTGAATAAAATAGAATTTCTGGATCTGCAAAGCGGGTGTCCAGCTCCTGAAGTGTGCCAATATTTGAAGGTCATTGTGACCCTGAGGCCTTTATTGAGCAACCAGTAGGGTATGGGGGTATGGTGGGGATGGGGCTTGTAAGGTCATATAGCTGGAGGTGTGGCTCAATTAGTAGAGCATCTGCCTAGAAAGCAAGGCCCTGATTTCAAACCCCAGCACTGAAAAAAAAAAAAAAAAAGTTTTCATTTACTTTTTACTTTAACAAAGGAATTTGTAGAATTTAAAAAATCAACTTGCTGCCAGATGCTGATGGCTCATGCCTGTAATCCTAGCTACTCAGGAGGCAGAGATCAAGAGGATTATGGTTTGAGGCCAGCCTGTACAAGTTATTGGTGAGTCTCTATCTGAAAAATACCCATCACAAAAAAGGACTGGGGGAGTGTCTCAAGGTGTAGGTCCTGAGTTCAAACGAAGGTTTGCAAAAAAAAAAAAATTAATTTGCTGAGTGTGGTGGTACATGCCTGTAATCCCAGAATCTGGGAGGATGAGGCAGGAAGATTATGAATTCCAAGTCAGTCTGGGCTATAGGGTGAGACTCTGTCTTGGAAAACAAACAAAACAAAAAACAAACAACAACAAAAAAGCCACTCAGTTCTGTAAGCTTTTAATGAAAAGTAACTTTCACCTACTCTTCTCCTATCCCTGTCTTCTTGCTCCTCCATAATCACCAACCCAAGTGTCTCTTCCTCAGTAAATAACATGCTTCTTTTTCTTTTCTTTCTTCCTTTTTTTTTTTTTTTTGTGGTATTGGGGATCAATACCACAAAAAAAGATATGAACAGGGACTCATATCTGCTAGGGAAATGCTCTACCACTGAGCTACAACCCAGGCCCCTTTTCCATTTTATGTAAAATCAATTGACTCCCTGCTGAGGTCGTTCTAATTTCCACTTTTCTAATATACTCCCCTCTCTCACCTTCTGGATTTAACTATATCCCAATTCTTAGTTAAAAAATGATTGGGGTTGGGCTGGAGGTTTGGCTCAAGTGGTACAGCACCTGCAAATGCAAGGCCCTGAGTTAAATTCCAGTACTGCAAAGAAAAAAAAAAGAAAAGAAAACCCAGTGTTTACATTATTATGGTTGTGAAAACACTCTTGGCTGTTGAGTCCTGTGTGTTCGTATTAAGACTGTGAATCTGTGAAAAATTGCTTGTATTAATGGACATCAAAGACATAGGGCTGAGAAACTTTGTTCTCTAAAATCATAGACAGTCCCAAACTTTGCTATTTGAAATTGGTCAGTAAGAATGGAACATTTCACTCTTGCCAGGAGGTCTGAGCCTTGTGGATGATGTTGACATACACAAGTATGGAACTGGGTATGTTGTTACATTCATGTAATTCCAGCATTAGGGAGGCTGAGGCAGGAGGATTGAGAGTTCGAGGCCAACTTGGACTACATAATGAGGCCCTGGAGAGAGAGAGAGAGAGAGAGAGAGAGAGAGAGAGAGAGAGAGAGAGAGAGAGACAGCTTAGATTTCCAACCCAGGTGGCAAAGCTTCAAACTACATCTCTGAACACTACATCTACCTTTATGTTAACTTCATAGTTTCCAAGTGGACTCTCAGTCCACTTGGCCCACACTCCTTCTTGGTCCCTTCTCTTGCCATCATGCTAACCGTGAACCACACACTGCTTAATTTAAACCTACCTAAAGGACTGGGGCATAGTGGTAAAGCACTTTCCTAGAGGCTGGGGCCCTGAGTTCAAAACTGAGTACTGGAAAAAAACCAAAAAACAAAACCTACCTAAAGCCAACACTTTCCCACAGATTCTGTGATGACCTGTTTCTTCCTTTGCTGAGTTGCCCACAGTTCTGGTGTGTGCTCAAGTTGATAAACCTCTGACCAACTACAGATGTGTTTTAAGTGGCTTTTTTTTGACAGTACTAGGGTTTGAACTTGGGGCCTCACCCTATCACTTGAGCTACACCCTCAACCTCTTTTGCTTTATTTTTTGAATAGGGTCCTGAGTTTTCCTCTGGGGCAGCTTCAGACATCAATCCTTCTACCTATGCCTCCTGTATAACCTGGTGATATGTGCCATCACACCCAGCTTATTGATTAAGGTGGGGTCTCAATAACTTTTTTGCTCTACCTGGCCTCAAACCTCTATCTATGCCTCCTGAATAGCTGGGATTACAAGCATGCATCACCATGCTTGTGCCCTGGACAAGTTTTTATCAGTTCATTTGTTCATTCTTTCGTTCCCTTCATCCCTCCCTTCTTCTTTATTTATATATGTATTTATTTATTGTAGTGCTGCAGACCAAATCCAGGGCCTTATACATGCTAGGGAAGCACTTTACTACCGAGCCCATATCCATCCCCTTTCCTTCCTTTTCTCTTTGTTTTCCCTGAAGTTGATAATTGCCTATCCTTTCCTTTTACTTGTTTTTTCTAATGTGTCAGTCATGAATCCATCCCCAAAACTCTTAGAAAGAGGTAGACACTTTCTGTCTCTTTAAAGTAGTATGGGGGTTTGAACTCAGGGATAGGCAGGTACTTTACTACTTGAGCCACACCTCCAGTCTTAACACTTTCTCTCAATACCTAAAACACATCAGATAATTTCTCTGTTCTCAAAATCTTTTTTATTTTTTTTAAGGACATCCTCTGGAGTCCTTCCGCTGTTCTTCTGCATTTCTTTTCAGGAGAGGCCAAGTGTGCCAAGCCTCTTGCCATGATGTCCATCTCTCACGAGCTCAAGAAATGCTGAAAAGCCGGGCGAGATGGTGGAAGTCTGTAATCCCAGCACTTGGGAGGCTGAGTCAGGAGGATCGCGTGTTCCAGGCCGGCCTGAGCTACATACGCAGTTCAAGGCCAGTTTGGAGAAAGATCTTGTCTCAAAACAAAAGGAAAAAAAAAAAAAAAAAGAAAGGGAACAAAATGTTTCAATGAATGTGAGCGAATGAATGAACAAGGGTTCTGCTGTGCTAGCGAACTAGGTGAACTGGAACGATATTATTATTTCCCACCTTGCAGCAACGTTCAGGGGTGTCTGCAAGGGTTCTAGAAATCCCACGCCAGGTTGGAACCCGGTTCGATGCAGAGGGTCCTCCAGACCCGGTCGCGGTTTGCCGAGCGCTGTGGTTCTGAGCACCCCGGGATCCGCGCCGGCGCCGCTTTGAGAACTACTAATCCCACAAGGCCGCGCGCGCGAGGGTGGGCGGGAGCGGAGAGGACTTCCGGACGCTGACGCGGGCCGGGACCGCGCGAGCCACGAGCCGCCGCTGTATGGTAGGTGGAGGTGGAAGGTTAAGTAGGGGTGGGAGCGGCGCGAACGTGTCTCAGATGCAGAGTGTTTAGCCGGGTGGGAGCAATCCCGAATTTTGCTTTCTCTTCCCGCAGTGGCCATGACGAAGTTAGCGCAGTGGCTTTGGGCACTGGCGCTCCTGGGCTCCGCCTGGGCGGCCCTCACCCTGGACCCTCTGGGCCTGGAGCTGCCCTCGCCCTGCCGGGAGGTCCTGTGGCCACTGCCCGCCTACTTGCTGGTGTCCGCCGGCTGCTATGCTCTGGGCACTGTGGGCTATCGCGTGGCCACTTTTCACGACTGCGAGGACGCCGCCCGAGAGCTGCAGAGTCAGATCCAGGAGGCCCGCGCCGACCTAGGCCGCAGGGGGCTGCGCTTCTGACGCCTCAACCCCAGTCCAGTCCGACAGCCCTCCTCTCCCTCCCGTTTCCCATTAAAGAGCAGCTGTGTTTTCTAACCTTGTTCAGTCTGAATATGGAGAATGGGAATTGGGGATTCGGCGTACCAGTGGTTGTGAAGTGATAAGTGAAGAACCAGCTCCCTGTGGGCTTTATCTTTGCTTGGCTGCAGTTCCCCATTTTGCTCCAGAAGAGGCACAGACCCCTCCTCAACATCGATGGAGAGATGTCATTTCACTTTCCTGGTCCTTTAACCATGTTAGGAAGTACTTTTATTTATTTATTGACATAGGGTAGCTTCTTACTCATGATCTTCTTGCTTAAGTTTTCTGAGTCCTAAGATTACAGACAGTCACTACCATGCCTGGCAGGAAGTACTTAAGCCTGACTTTCATTGTTCATAACGTCCAAGTTCTGTTCTTTTAAGGCCTTCCTGGGCCTTTTCAGCCTCCTAGTTCTTCCAAATACCTTTGCGGAGCCAACCACCGGCCTGGGAATAACTAGATCTACCCTTTCCCCCAACCTCGCAGGTTGAGAATCAGGAATAAAGAAAGAGCTGTGATGGATAGAGATAGGGAACAGTTTATTTTAAGGCACATTCTAATCATCCCAACCTCCAAAATTAAAGATAATCTCTTAAAAAAAATAATTCATCTCCTAGGTCCCACCTACTCTTCTAAGTAAATCTCTTTGATTCCTCCAATCCGGAAGTTATCTTTGTCCCACAACCTACTTATACCCATGAGACTGGTCACCAGGACCAGCTAAAACAAGGAGCTCTCTTTGGTATCAAGTTGACATTAAAGGTGCCTGTGGTCAGGTGAGCTGTCTCAGGTTTGCAGGAGACGATAGTTCCTGTCTTGTTCTCGGGGGTACTTCCAGAAAAGCCAGAGGCGGATAAAGCTGGTGAGGATTCCTGGAAGGTTGGGCACCTGAAGTCACAAAGAGTTGCTATGAAGAGAGGAGCCAGTTTTCCACTTTGCAGACTTGTCACCCCATTCATATTCTGCTTACCATGATGTAGGGATCACTGAGTCGAAACCCATAGAGGGACCAGGAGGCAGAGGTAAGGAGGGTGGCAATGGTGAGTGAGAAGGAGAGACGTTGGGTTGATTTAGTCTGAATGACCTTGGCCTGTGGGAAAGGATGAGAGACACTGCTTGTCCAGGGGCATAAGAATTTCCTCAGGAAAAAGGACCAACATCATCTTGTGATCTGTCACCCAAACCTCTCCTGCCTCCCACTCAACCCACCTCTACTGCCTTGTCTCTTTCCAGGATTTTCATCTCCCCTACTTCTGGTTACCCCGACTCACTCACCAAATCAGCCAGTGGTGAGAGGTACATGCTGATGGTAAAGACACTGCAGAAGAGGCCCAGCCGCTGAAGGCGGGCCTCCAGGTCAGGTACCAGGAGCCAAAAGTAGCCATAACCCAGGAGAAGGAACCCCAGCAGGGCTGCAGTCTGCAGAAGCACAGTATGCTGCAGAGGAGAGGAGTCTGACTTCCAGATGTGCCCAGCACACTCTCTGATCTCCCTGCTGGAATTAATTCTGCCTTCTCCTATGCTCCCATGGGGAAGCTAACCTTTGTTGCAGCCTCCACTATTGCCCTGGTCACAGTCTCGTTTTCTCAGTGACTTGATGGAAAAGTCACCCAAAACTGGAGATCTCCATAGGAGGCAAAGATATCTTTTTTTTTTTTTCCTGTGAGTTTGGCATGCATAGTAGGAGCCTAATCAATGCTTTTGTGTGATTGAGTAGGGAAGCAAAGCTAATCATCTCATTCTCAACTACTAGCCTAACCCTAAAAAAACTATCAGAGACTAAAAGCCCTTTCTCCTCAGCCTGTTGGGTGGAAGCACAAGCACCCCAGGCTATAAAGGCTACAATAGGGGCCATAGATAAGTCTGGGAAGGCTGGTTTCAAGGAAGAGAACTGAGTTGCAAGGGTGGAGGTCTTCTAGGAAAAAGTGGCAGTGCCAGTCTGTTACAGTCTTGTAGGAAGTACTGTTTGCTCTGCCAGCGAGGCAGGGTGTGCTGCAGAGAGGTGGGTCCAAGGGAAGGCCTCTACCTTCTGAGGGCAGTAGTGCAGATACACCAAGATATACAAGGTCTGAAGCACAGCACCGACGGTGTTGACGATGATGAGGGTCCCGTCTCCCTTCAAGACCCCATAACTCAGCCAGCTCAGGTTACTGCAAAGGGAAGGGAAGGAATATGGCTCGCAGTGTTGAGTGTGGCAGGGGGTCCCCACAGGTCTCTTCCGCAGACTTCCTGCCCCTCCTCCCTCCCTCAGCCTTTCCCGCCGCAGCCGTCCACTCTCACTTGACATCCGTGGTGAGAAAGGGCAGGAACTGGACGCTGTCCACGCTGCGAGTCATCCGCATGTGCCTGAGGTCCGAGCTGTAATGGGCCCCGAAGGGAGGGGTGTCGGATGGGTGAGAGAGCCCCAACGCTTCTCACCCTCCCCGGAGACCGCAGACCCGCCCCCAGCTCCCCTGCCTTCTCTCGCAGTTCAAGCAAGCAGTTTGGCCCTTGCACCCCAGTCCCCTCGACCCGGTTCCACTTTGACCCTAGATTCCAGCCGCAGCCTGGGACTATGGCCACGTTTCTATCCACTCTCTCCTGACTTCCTAGTCCTGCACCAGCCCAGCCCGGCCGCGCTCTCACAGGCCAGTGGAGAACATGCCGAGAGTGAAGAGCACGCAAGCTCCAGAAAGGAGCGAGTCGGCCACGCCGCTCGCCTCCATCCCGCCCGAGTCGGATCCCGGGAGCCGCGCGGGGCGCTAGCTCAACCCTGAGCCAGCGACGCTGGAGCCCCGCCTCGCGCACCAGGCCCCGCCCCGCGCCGTCCCCCCGGAAACCGCGCCGGAACCCGGCCCTCCCCTAGAACTGCGCACCGGAACTCAGGCCCCGCCCCTTTGAGCGCGGGGCCCGCCCCTGTCCGTCCGCCGCTGGTTTCCAAGGTCCTGGCTTGAGCTTGCCCTGTAGGTCTCTGTCAGTCCCTTTTCTAGGGTTTCGCGCATTTGTCCGCCACACCGCTATTCCCCACACTCTGGACCCCCACCCTCAACTGTTGTGTTCCCGAAGTTAGATCCAAGCTGACTTCAACTGGCCTCCTACCCAGAGCTCCAAATCAGAACCTCAGTGGCCTGGGGTTTGGGAGGTTTCCCTTGGAATTCACTGAAGCCTCTTCCCAATCTAAATAACCAGGATTGCCAGGAATTATATTACTGTCTTCCTTCGCCAGGGGGGGCCTTTAGCCACAAGGCCAACTTTACATGACCCGCCCGATCCACAGACCTACCATGACCTCCTTGTCTAACCTACTTGCTGCTGGGAACTTTCCCTCCCAGCCTCCCACACATCTCTGCTGGTGGGGCTGTGGGGTGGGGCGCATGCCTCAGCTGGCGTCCGGCCTCCCGGCCTCCCTGACTCACCCGGACAGCGTGAGTACTGAAAGGTATGCCAAAGTCCAGCGCTGAGGGGATGGGGATGGGGTAGAGGTTGGACAGGAAGGACTTCCAGAGTGGGGTGCGGAATAGAACTCGAGAGACTGCTGTGGGGAACACTTCTGTACTGCACAATCGTTGGCCCGGTGAGGAGTCATGTCCTCTTTGGAGAAAGAAATTCAAACCCAGTTGCTTTTTTTTATGCCGGGGATTGAACGCAGGACCTCGTGCATTCTAGGTAAGTGCTGTATCAATAAGCTACAGCTCAGCTCTTCATACATTTTGAGGCAGGGTCTCCCTAAATTGCCCAGGCTAAAGTTGCCATCCTTCTACCTCAGACTCCAAAGTGGCTGGTATTACAAGTGTGCACAATACCAGCTACAACTGCTTTTGCACAAAGCCTTGCACACAGCAGGGGCTCTGGTCAAAGTCAACCTGGGGAGCAGAAAAGCATGTCCAAAAAAACAAAAACATTGCTTTATTTTGAGACATTGTATAAAAAAACTCCAGTTGTAGAAATCAGCAGACATACAGTTTATATACAGGTACTGTACATGTGGGCCCTGCCCTTTAGGCTACACTCTAGGCAGTCTGTACATACGGGCACTGCCCTTACAGCTATACTCTTAAGAACAGGTTGGCACAGCCCACCTGCTGGCACAGCTCCAGGGAGTGCTGTCCCAGGATGGGGAGAATATGCAGTGCCTGGCTACAAACCTCTGTGGCAGCTCCACAGATGGAAGTCTTGCCGGGAGATGCTGGGTCAGCCCAAGCATGCCACCTCTCCTGTACCTGGCTCCTATGAGGAAACTGTCTCTTGCTTTTCCTTCAGTCAGTTCATCTGGGGATCCTGGCTCTCTGGAGAGGCAGCTTTGCCAAGCTCATTGTCCATCTGCATGGTCTCAGGCCCCTTCCAGCTTACTTTCCACTGGACCCTCTCCAGGGGCCATGTCTACACAGCTTGTTTCTTTGGCTTAGGCAGGAATGGCAAAGGAAGGGCTGTCCCCACTTCTTTCTCCATCCCTCTGAAGTGGAGGCAGGGATGGCACTGTCACGCTGGTCAACTTCCTTTGGGTTGAAACCCTTAATACTGACCCGTTCTGAGGCTGCTGGGTGGCAGCTTGTGCATGTGGTGGGAGTGGTTCCCAATGCTAGAGCTTTGGGCCCGGCTCCAGGACAGGTAAGTGGTGCCTGTTCCTCCCTGCTCCCTCAGCCCAGTTCCAATCCTTAAGTCAGATGTGTACACCTTCACTGGGTTTGCAGCAGCAAAAGTGGCAGGAGCAACACAGCCCAGGCAAGTGGGAAGAGGCGGGGGGCAGCACTGTGACCAATACTATGTAGAACCTGTACCTCTGAGTCATCTGCAAGGTGAGAGAGCAAAGGAGGTTAGAGGTCCCACTTTATTCACTAGATCTCAGCTGAACAGGGTTTTCCCAGCCCCTGCCTGGAAAGGATCCACTTTCTGTACCCAACCTCTTCAAGGAGACCCCTTCCCTGTGTCTCAAGCAGTTACAGACCTGCTTGAAGTCTCTTCTCCTGTGAATTGGCATGGGCCTGAGGACTGTGAGCTGAAAAGATAAGAGCGGTATAGATCAGGGATCATGCCAGGGAGGCACAGGGTGCGCAGGTGGCAGGGTAGCAGAACTTCCCTACCCTCCCAGATCACTACATCGCCCAGCCTTGAGATAGAGGGAAGAAATCTACTTACTTATTTTGCCGTTGACAGTCACCTTCAACTTCAAGCACTGGTTTTCTTGGTGGTGGATGGGTTTGGCTATAAGATAAACCCATAAGGAGTTAAGGAAAAAGCCTTTGTTGGAAGACTTAAGCCCAAAAGTGTCTGGCCTGCTTTCTCAACTCTCTACTCACTTTTAATTCCTCTCTTCCCTCTAACCTCAATTCTTGCCTTCCTCTGTTTTTGCCCACTTCCTGCCCAGTGTTCAATCCAATCTCCCTTCTGTGGAACAACCCTCAACTTTGGCAGCGGTGATAACAAGGACATAGATACTGTCCCCTCTGTACATTTCATCTTTCACTCCTCTGAGCCTGAAACTGGGTGAGGCTTTCACATTGTTCCCCTTTACTTGAGTCATTTTATATCATCCATCCTAGGCCCCATGGAAAGAGTGAGTGACTGAGTGATTTCCCCAAATTTATTCTGCCAGTTACTCCCTTTATGCTACACAAAGCAGACCTTGTAACTCTTAAGATTCACCAGTGGCTCTCCACTGCCTTCAGGATAAAGTCCTGAAGTGTTTGGGCCTTCAGAATCTGTCTGGCCCACTCTTTAAATTCATCTCTCTCTACTTCCTGTGTGCCTCCCACTCCAGGAGTTTGCTGAAGAGGACATGGTCCCTTTCCACATGTACCTTGGTGCCTACCCAATTCCTTTGCTTTTTTCGAAGCTCTGGGGTCATTTTCCCACTCTGTCATATCACACTGTTCTGATGCTCTGTTGACCTATGTGCCTTCCTTCCCAGCCTCCCTGAGGACAGGGGCTCTGAAGTGTTTTATTTGTCTTTGTGCTGACAGTGCCAAGTGGAGTACCAGTATACAGTAGAAACTCACTCTACACTTGTGAATGAAGGTAAATTAAAGCTTAGAAGGGGCCCTGTGCTACCTGACTCCCCATTCAGCATGTATGCAGGCATATGCATCATGTCACTTTGTCCCGAGCACATGCACCTGTGTGCCTGCCTCCCATGCACTTACAGATGTAGTAGTAGCTGTGTCCTTCCTTGAATTCCTTGCTCAGGATGAAAGGTGTGAAGCGCTGGATCTTCTCAGTCAGCTTCTCTGGGCCATGCTTGGCATTGGGCTTGTTGCACTGCCAGCGAACTGGGTCCTTGGGTCGGGGCTGGCATACTACATACTCCTCATGCTCCACCAGGTACAGTGTGTACTGCTCCATAGCAGCTTCTGCCACAGAGTCATCCTCATAATGTGGACAGACAATGTCCAGGTAGTCATTCAGCTGCACATGTACTGTGTAGTCCTCATCCCGAAACCTGGGCACATGAAGAGTGGGAGGAAGCAGGTGGTCATTGAGAAGCCAGGCTAGAGCTTCAAGCCTCCACCTGCTTACTCAACCCCTCACATTTCAAACTGGACCCCAAGGATTCTTCCAAAATCTCAACTCCCAATATTTTACTGATCTTGATCTCTTATACTCTCTCTACCATCTCCAAAAACCTCCCCCATCACCATTGTCCACTATTCATCCTCCAATTAGCATCCGCTCAGTTATCTTTTGGGTACCAAAGCACTTTCCACATCTTCCCATAAGATTTCCCCAGTTATTCTACCAACTCCTCCTTTCAATGCTAGTAGACCTCAATCTGAGGTCCTACTGGACCATTCTCTTTACCATGCTTGTGCTGAGCCCCTCAACACATGTCTTCACTTCTCTTACTCCTCTCACCCTCCCCACCAACCATCTCTCACATTTCCCAGCTTCATGGTCCTCCCAACCCCTAGTCCAAACTCAGGCCCACAGATAATGCCCCTGGTCCTTTAAGTTAAGTCATTCTCACCAATGCAAATCTCCCTGTCTTTCTACTCAAATTTGTGCCCTGGTCTTGTCTCCTCTCCAAACATCCCTGACTCTTCATCTCCAAAAGCCACACTTCCGCCTCCCCTTATGAAATGCTGGAGTTCCCAGACCTGCCATTGCTTCTCTTTTCCCCTCCTCCCCAGGTGGAGCCAGCTCCCCTCCCCCAATCCATTCCCCCCCAAGCCAGGCAGGCTCCAGCCTGACTGCCCACCATCCCCTCCCCCCAGCTCCAGACACCTGGCTCCAGCCTGGGTGGGGTCCCTGTAGGGAGAAAGTGCCTCCCTGTCTTGCTGCAAGCTGGTCAGCTTCTTTGAATTCCCCCAAGCACCCCAGCCCGAGACTCAGCAGAGTTGGCTGCCAACTTGCTTCAAACCCAAGCCCTGGGCATGGGTGGCAAGGTGGGGGAAGCCGGAGGGGAGGGGAAGGAGAAGGGGATTTGGGGGTTGGGAAAGAATTAGGTGGAGAAGCCTCTAAGGTGGGCATCAACTGCCCAATCAGCATGATCCCTGAGAGGCTTGGCCTTGCAGAAGCTTGGGCCTCTGGAGCTAGGCTTACCAAGCCCCTCCCCCGCCCCGGGGAAAAGAGAGGAGCAGAGGGAGGCTTTTAAAATTCCTCTCTGGAGAGATAAACATAGAAGCCATTTCAGAACAGGTATTTCAGCTCTGGGCCTGGCGTCTTTCCCCCATTCCTGTGACGGGCACTGACTCATTCCTCATCCACCTCTGCTACCCGCCCTGGCACTCATGAGAACCTGCAAAATTTTACCTTGTCAAATGTGGACAGCCCCCAGAACCCCTGACTGGTTTGCCCCAGCACTGGCCTTCAGGCAAAGGGAGCTGGCAGGTCCAAATGGGCAAGGCACCTGCCCCTCCAGCACCATTCTCCTCATGCTGCCCCTGCCTGGGGCCTGGAGATCAGGGCAGATGCCCACTGCCCTGAGTCATCCATGCCAGCCTCACACCCACCCAGGTCATTACCACCTCATCTCTGCCCCTAAGCTGGGCCCAGCTAGGCTGTCTGCCCATGGACTCCACTGCAGGCTGGTTTCCCTTTAGTCCTGGGGTAGAGCAGAGAGTGTGTGTGTGTGTGTGTGTGTGTGTGTGTAGCCTGAGGGACAGAGCAAAAGCTGTGCTGGTGGGGTAAGCGTCACCCCCCATCTGGGGTACCGAGGAGCACAGTCGCTCCTCTGGGTCTCTACTGTCTCCTCCACTTGGCCCACTTTTGACTCTTGCTCTCCATCTGGGAAAAGGGGCTGCATGGGCAGTGTCAGGGAAGGCAGGGAGGGGGGCAAGGAAGAGGCTCCTTCCTGAAAGAGAGGAAACCTGGGAGCTTGGGAACGGAAAAGGCCAGAGTTCCCCCCCCTCCCTACTCATGGCTTCCTGTCCCCTCCTCCTCCTTTAGCCAACACCTGGCATGGGCATAAACAGGGACTTTGCTCTCTCCCACTACCAGGACAGGACTGGGTCATGGAGGCAAAGAGCAGGCAGCAAGGAGTGGGGAGCAGGAGGGCTGGTTAGGCTGCCTGGCACCCTATAGTCAGGAGGGCATTGCCCCAGGGTTGGCAGCTAGCTTTTCCCTGCGCCCCCCAGTATGAACTAGACAGCAGATCCCTCACCAGGCAATGCCACAGGGCTGGAAGGAAGCTGGCACAATATATTTTTCAAGGGGAGTAGGAGGTATGCGTTCTATGACGGGGGGTATTTTGGTGACCCCCAGCTGCAGGGCCCTCCTTTCTGTTTCACCCTTCCCCCCTCTCCTGTTTTCCCAAAAATATTGTTCCCTTAACTTTAGAAAACTCAAGAGTAAGAACAAAGGGTCCCACTGAGCGACAGACCGTCTTCCTCCCAGTACCATTTGCCTCTTGGCCCTAAACCTGCACAGGAGAAATTAACTCCTTCCTGCCCAGAGCCCTTTGTCACCCTCTTAACCCCTTCCATTCCTTCTGAAGTTTTCCCCTGACCTCCCTCTCTCTGTCTCTTCAGTTTGACCACCTCAACCTCATAGTCAGGCAACTCCTTCAATCTACCATGCACAACATGTGCCTCACTTATGCCACCCCCAAAGACCTATAATGGGGGGCCCTTCAGAGTCACCCTAAACACAGAACGAATGCCTAATCTCCCACGCCCAGCCCCTTCTGGGGGTCTTTCCAATGTTACACAGAGCTCCCTGCTCACTCTTGATGTCACATCTCGTACCTATCAGTATGGGCAGATGCCCAAATGGCACACTAGAAGGGCTCAGTAGTTCCAAGGTGGCATCCTACAAGAGCCATGAAGGCCAGGGTGAATGGCTTATCCTCAAGGCAGCAATGCTCAGCATGGGTCCCTCACTTTAGAGTGACAGAGTGCCAGAGAACAGGAAGGGAAGGGCAGAAACAGTACCTAAGCAAGTAGACACTGGTAGGTTCCTGCCCGGGGTGGGGTGCTCCGAGTTACGAGGGGGAAGTGAGGGAAAGAAAAGCTACAGCATACCTCCCGCCCCTGGCCACCACCCCTAGGCTCAGGTCAGGGACTGGCCGGGGCAGTTACCCTGGGGAGGGGCAGTGCCAGCCAGGCGCCCAGGCTGCCAGCGAGAGACAGGGCTTACTTGGGATTTGAACTGTTCCAGAAGACGGTGTGGCGGTCAGCAGCAGCCAGACTGCAGCACAGACCCAAGAAAGGGGCCCAGAGGAACTCCATGGCGCGGGGCCAGGCTAGGCCGGGCGGGTACGAGGGGCTCCTCGGGGTCTGGGCTCCCGCTGGCTTCTCCAAGGCACAGTCAGCACCGCGCTCACAGCTCTGGCCCCTTCGCCTGGCGACTCCGCCTTTTGGGCCGGCGCCGCCCGACACCCGCCCCGCCCCCGCCCCGCCCGGCGCGCGGCTGCCCCGGGGCTTGGGGGCTGGGGAGGTGGAGGAGGGGAGGGCGAGCTGGCAGGCTGGGGAGGAGGCCTGGGGTGCGAGAGAGCACGGAGCGCGCCTCTGCCCCCGTAGATCTCCACGGAGCTGCACGCTCGCAACTTGCGGGTCTGCGTGAAGCTTTGTGGGCTTTGTGGGACCTGTGCAGTCGCGTGCTGAAAGGAAACGAACTCGCATGTGTGGTCTGCAAACGCGCGGGTGCAGGACCCGGCTTTGCAGCGCCGGGCGCAAACCTTGCAGGATTCGAGGTTGTGGATATGCATGCACCTTTCCCGAGACTCGCACACAAGACTCGGGCTCCCGCGTTCCCACACTCTCCTCCTATGTCACCCCTCATCCCCCAATTCCCGGACTCTGCGTTTGGCTGCCCCTCCCCACACACACGCGGCTGTTTGTTTTTGTTGGGTTTGTCAATGTTGTCTTTGTTCAAGAGATTGTGTCATCGCCTAGATGCCGGGAATAAAGTGCGACGCTGTGTATGATCAAGTGTGTAACGTGTGCGGCCAAGACTCAGGGCGCCTCTGTCCATTAGTGCTTGTCCATCGGCTTAAGGGACACTTGGGACCATGGGCTCGAGGGGAGGAGGGGTGGTCTGTTCTTGTTTCTGGATGTGCCAAAGGACAGAGATGACCTGTGTGTGTTGTGTGTGTGTGTGTGTGTGTGTGAGACATCACACGTGTGTTATCGTGCGAATGGGCTCTTACATATGGACTGTGAGAATCCTGGCATGATGGGTGACAAACGGTAACCAACACATGTACATCTGGCGTGTGTAAATACGTGTGATGGCGCGCAAGTGTGAGAGCATTTGTGAGTAATATCACAGCTGCGTGTGTGGAAGCGTGTGAAACTCTGACATACGTACGCTAATGTTTGTGAACAGCGTGTGAACAGGGGAAACGGGTTTGGGAGTGCAGTGGGGGTGGGGTGGGGTGGGGGTGGGGCTGTGTTTGTGCGGCGTCCGGCTGGTGTTGGCCCAGTCTGAGCTGGGGTTCCCGGAGTCAGTCGGGCCGCTCGAGTACCCAGCTCAGGTCCCCTCCCCCGCGCCGTGTAAACAAACTCGCTGGAATTCGCCTCTCGGGGCTCTTCCAGCAGGGATCTGCGGACGTCTGGAGAGGGGCTGGCGGACGGGTGTCGGCTCCTGGGGTGGAGAGGGCGGGCAGGTGTTTGATGAGGCTTGTGTCTGTGACTGAGCTGAAGAGCTGAATGCTGGATGTCTGAGTGTGTTTGGTGGTTCACATGTGTGGTTGTGTCGCTGTGTGCTCTACCCAGGTTGATGTGTGTATGAGTGTGTGTGTGTGTGTGTGTCTCCCTGGTTGCCCTTCCTGGCGACTGCGCATCAGGGGAAGCCGCGGACATGGGGCCCCTGCCCGGCTCAGGCCCAGCTTCCTCTGTTCCCAGGCCGTTTCATCCTTCTTTTTTACGGCCAGTCTTGGCGACAGCCCCTGTAATTACGCGGGGCCTGGACGCCGCGGCAAGTCCGGCGCTGACCCTGCCTGGGAAAAGCCTGGAGCCGAGGAAGGCTCCCGCCGGCCTTCTGCAGGAAGCCCTACTTGCCACGCTTACGATAAATATTTTCCGAGCCCCAACTAGATGCTGGGGCCGCGTAACCCCGCTACTGGTCTGGGTCGGTCTGGCTTTGCACACGGCCATCCCGTGCGCACCTGCCCCAGGCGACGTGCCGAAGCCACACGTAGATCCGAGGCGCGGTCGGCCCCTCCCGCCCGGGCCGAAGTCCATCGGCCGATAAGCCCCAAAGGTGACACCTCACGCGCTTTTTGCTCACCTGGGAGGACACCTGGGTGTCGGTCTCCCACGTGTCCCCGGTGACAGCACCCCATCCCAACTCGTGTTTTCATAGACTCGAAGCTCCATGAGCGTTGGATTTTGTTTTGTTTTGTCATTGCCAGCGCCTGGCATGGCACCCAGCACACATTGTGGATGGTCAGTAAGTATTTGTTGAGTGAGGTTACTCGCCACTCCATGAGGTGTAAACTTCTGGCTGCTCTGAAAAGAAACACGCAGAGGGGTTAGCGCAGGGGCCATTTCTTCAGAGAGGATGTTCTAGTATTGTCCCCTGGAGGAGACACCTTTGGGCCGGATTCCTTCATCTGTCTGATCGCATGGACTGAGCGAGTACGTGTGAGGTCCCGCACAGCGCTGCTCGGGTCTGGCAGGTTCGGGCTCGCTGGGCCCAGACTGGCGGGGCCACGTCCGCTCCCGCCCTGCCTGCCTCTAGGACTGGAGCGAGCTGGGTGAAGGGGCGTGGGGAAATCCAGGGCACGAACGAGACGTGGAGCCCCTGTCTTGGCACTCTCCCAGCATCTTTACTTCAGGCCTAGATCCTGTATATTTGTGCATTCAGGGGGTCGTGCATCAGCCTTAATGGAACGCTTCTAGCTGCGGGATGGTGTGATGGGCACCCAGAGTGCAAGGGTGAATCTGAGATAAAACCATTCCCTTGAGTGTCCCGCAAGCAGTAGGGGGTTTACCTTTGGGAATATACTTTTCATTCTGGATTAGGGGAAACAGACAAGCCCCTAGTGCAACAGACTTGCTAAATGCTATAGCTCAGACCGGTCCTGGAGCCTCTGCGCCGCCTGGTGGACCAAGAGGAGAGTTGCATGCACTCTGCCATCCAGAAGGACTACAGAACGGACCACTGAGCGCAGGCACGAACTCTGGACCCTTCCGGCATCCCAGATCTTAGCCTGCCCAGGCCAGTCTGGTCTCGATTTTTATTTTGAGCTATCTCTCACCGCAAAGTTGTGTGCCTGAGTTAGCTGTCAGCACCGTCACCCTCAGGGAAACATCTGTGCTCAGTGGTGAGAACATTTGAGGTGTCTGTCTGTCTCGGAAATTCCCTCAGTGAGTCCTTTCTGGAAATTTTAAGCCTGAATGTTCTGGGAGAGGCCCTGCCCCCCGGAGGGTGGGGCTGCCACCTGTGGGGGCACTGCCCGCCCGCAGGCAGCATTTCCAGACTGGAACAGGCCTGGCTACTAGACTGCTAGTTTGAGGTTTGGCACCGGGCGGGCCTGAGCCACAGGCCCTGGGGCGTGTCTAGCTTGGCTCAGCCCCCAGGGCATCTCTGGGTAATGGGGTGAGGCAGCAGCAGAGGGGCGGACCCTGAGGCCGGGGCCCGCCTGTGCCCCACTCCCTGAAGGTCATTTTGTACAATAAAGTGCATGTTTCCCCCTTTATTAGTAATGTGTGCACATTGTTCAAATGTGGAAAATAAGAGGGGGGATAAAATGGTTTGGGGAAAAGACCAGCTACTGTTTGCGCCCTTTGTCTGCTGATCTCTTGCTTGTGAGGAGTTTGTTTGCTTGCTTTTAATAGTATGATAAATATGACTCATTTCAATTGTGTACTTTTTCCCCTTTTAACTTCATAACAGAAAATGTTTTACATACTATCGAAGATCATATATATATATGTTAGTGCTGGGCCTTGAACACAGGGCCTGGGGCATATTAAGTATGAGTGACACCATTGGACACACCCCCAGCTGTGGAATTGATTTTTTTTCCAGTGCTGGAGATGGAACCCAGAGCCTCAACCATGTGAGGCAAGTGCTCTACCATTGAGCTACATGCCTAGTTCCCACAAATGACTTATTTTGTTTTTATTTTTTGGCAGAGGTGGGTGTTGAACTCAGTGTCTCACACTTGCCAGGCACTCGCTCTGCCATTTGAGCCACTCCACCAGCTTTTATTTTATTTTTACGTTGTTGTTGTTGTGTGTGTGTGTGAGTGTGTTTTGGCGGGACTGGGGTTTGAACTCAAGGCTTTGCACTTGCAAAGCAGCTACTTCATTGGTTGAGCCACATCTCCAGCCCATTTTGCTCTGGTTATTTTTGGAGTTGGGAGTCTCTGGATCCATTTGTCCAGGCTGGCCTTGAACCGAGATCCTCCTAGGTAGCTAGGATTATAGACACAAATGCCCAGTTTTTTTTTTGTTTTTTTTTTCCCCTTTGGTACTGGGTCTTGAACTCAGGGCCTTCACCTTAAGCCACTCCACCAGCCCTTTTTTGTGGTAGGGTTTTTCCAAGATAGCGTCTCAGAACTATTTGCCCAGGCTGGCTTCCAACAGTGATCCTCCTGATCTCTACCTCCTGAGTAGCTAGGATTACAGGTATAATTGGTTAGTTTTGAGATAAAGTCTCACTTTATGCCTAGGCTGGCCTGGACCTTGATCCTTCTATTTGTGCTTCCTGGTGTGGCTGGGATGTCAGGGGAGTATAATGGTACACAGCCATCAGCTGAGATGGGAGTCTCCCAAACTTTTTGTTCACTAGCTTCAAACTCTGATCCTCCCCATCGCTGCTTCCTGAATAGCTAGGATTACAGACTTGAGCTACCACATAGGGCAATGAACCAATTTTTGTTGTTGTTGTTTGTTTTGGAGAAAGGATCTCGTTTTTTTTGCCCAGTCTGGCCTCAAACTCGAGATCCTCCTATACCAGCCTACCAAATAGCCAGGATTAAAGGTGTGCGTCGCTGCACTCAGTCCCATAAGTGGTATTTTGAGGGCAGCATAATGTTTCATTGTTTCAGAGTTTGCCATTGTAATGAAAGCAAGCAGAGTAGAAATAAATACATTCTCATAAATTTAACACTCCTTAGTTGCTGAGCAGGTGGGTTGATTGGTTCTTGGAACTTAAAAATAACCCTGCAACTGATTTTCATCCAACAGGTATTTATGGAACAGCTACTCTGGGCTGGACTCTGGATTGTGACAGGGGACTCAGTGGAGGATAAAAGACAAGGGCTTGAGCCAGCGCTGGTGGCTCACGTCTGTAATCTTAACTACCAGGAGGCAGAGATCAGGAGGATTGTCATTTGAATCCAGCCCAGGCAAATAGTTCACATGACCCTATCTCGAAAATACCCAACACAAAAAAGGGCTAGCAGAGTAGCTCAAGGT